TTCATGTTGATGGGAGGGCATCTTAAAAAGAGATTCGGGATGTACATGCCAAGGGTCGTGCAGCTCGTGAGGCATACGGGTATGATCCTCTTACACCTGATGGAGATGATATCGATTCTGATAATGCGAACAGACTCGCCTCCGACTCTTGGTACGAAGACGTGTATGCCATCGGGAATGATGTGTAGTATTTGTTTTGTACTTACTTTTTGCTTTGCGATTTTTGTAGGGGCGTCTTTGAGACCTTTGCAAAGACATATATTTGTAACATATTTGCAGTGGATGGAGGTCATTTTGGTCGTACATCTCTGAGCCGTTTTCTTCTTTAGATTGATTTTTTTGATGACTTCTGTCGTAGTTACGTCGCTTCGATGTTTTGTTGAAATGCTAAACTTATAGTATTGAGTTTAGTTGAATTCTTTTCGTTGGCAACGACCTTAACTGTAGGGATATCTCTTTCGAGTTGGTGCTGAAGTAAGATCCCGTCATAGTTCGAGTTAAGTCGAACTCGTTTTTTATTGATGGCCTTAGCCATTGGGATGTTACTTTCGAACTGGCGCCGAAGTAAGATCCCGTCGTAGTTCGAGTGAAGTCGAACTCGGTTTATGTCGATGGCCTTAGCCATTGGGATGTTACTTTCGAACTGGCGCCAAAGTAAGATCCCGTCGTAGTTCGAGTGAAGTTGAACTCGTTTTTTATTGATGGTCTTAGCCATTGGGATGTTACTTTCGGACTGGAGTCGAAGTAAGATCTTGTCGTAGTTCGAGTGAAGTCGAACTCGGTTTACGTCGATGGACTTAGCCATTGGGATGTTACTTTCGAACTGGCACCGAAGTAAGATCCCGTCGTAGTTCGAGTGAAGTCGAGCTCAATTTACGTCGATGGCCTTAGCCATTGGGAATTTACTTTCGAGCAGGCGCCGAAGTAAGATCCCGTCATAGTTCTAGTGAAGTCGAACTCGATTTACGTCAATGGCCTTAGCATTGGGATGTTACTTTTGAACTGGCGCCGAAGTAAGATCCTGTTGTAGTTCAAGTGAAGTCGAACTTGTTTTGCGTCGATGGCCTTAGCCATTGGGACGTTACTTTTGAGCTGGCGCTGAAGTATGATCCTATCGTGAGGGTGGCATTCTATTTTATTTGTTAGAGTGTCGTGGATGCTAGTTTCATTCATACATTGGAGATGTGTGTTGCTTTCATATACATAATGGAATGATTTTATTCATATATCGGATATACATGTCGATTTCGTACATATAATGAATATTATACCTAGTCCCTTCATTGCTCAGCTTGGAGATGTAATAGGTAGGTAGGGAAATGAACAATACTTTGAACCTCGAGACGCCCCCACCCCCCTCATTAAAAACCTCCCCGAGAAAACCTGATTGGGACAAAACCCGAGTAAGGGAAAAAGAGTACGACTCAGGTGACATCTTTTTTCAGAAGTGGAAGTATTTGAGGTGGGCGACGTTCCAGTTATTTTGCAATAGATTTCCTTCCATTGTTTCTAGTTGGAATGCTCCTTTACTTGCTGATGCTATGATTTTGTACGACCCGTCCCAATTTGTTCCCAGTTTCCCTTTATTTGGGTCCTTTGCTGCTTGCGTTTTGGCCTTTAGTACGTAGTCCCCGACTCTGAGTGGTCGTATTTTGTCCTTCTTGTTATAGTACCTTTCTACTTGTTGTTTTTGGGCCACCATTCTTATATGTGCCATATCCCTTCGCTCTTCGACCTCATCCAGGTCATGTAACCTGCTTTCGTTGTTGCTTGATCCGCTCTCATTGGAGTACCTCAAGTTGGATTCCCCGACGTCAACGGGTATGACTGCATCGGTGCCGTAGACCAGTGAATACGACGTCTTACCTGTACTGGTCCTTGGCGTTGTGCGGTAGGCCCATAGCACCTCCGGTAGCAGTTCCGTCCATAGCCCTTTGGCATCTTCAAGCTTTTTCTTTAATATTTTTAATATTATTTTATTGGAGGATTCCGCTTGACCGTTGCCGGTAGGATGATATGGTGTGGAGAGTATCGTTTGATGTGCCATTTTCGAAGAACTCAGTCGTCTTTTTCCCGACAAACTGGGGTCCGTTGTCGCAACTGATTTCTTTGGGGATGCCAAAGCGCCATATGATGTTTTTCCAGATGAACGTGATGACTTCTTGTTCGCATATTTGAGCGAACGCACCTGCTTCCACCCATTTGGAAAAATAGTCAGTTAAAACCAAAAGGAAGCGTACCTTACCTTGCCCTACTAGGAGGGGTCCGACGATATCCATTCCCCATTTTATAAATGGACATGGGGAGGTGATAGAGTGTAGGAGTTCCCCCGCCTGGTGTATCATAGGGGCGTATTTTTGGCATTGCTCGCATTTTTTGACGTACTCTCCAGCCTCTTTTTTCATAGTGGGCCAGTAGTATTCTACACGAATAAGACACCTAACGAGGGCTCGGTTACCTGTATGGGCACTGCAGTGGCCTTCGTCTACCTCTTCGAGCACTCGTCTTGTTTGATTGGGTCTGAGTCATTTGGATAACGGGCCACCGAATGTCCTTTTACAAAGGTCATGGCTAACGAGACTGTATCTGGCCGCCCGTATTTGGAGCTTTTTGGCTTCTTTTTATCTTGTGGGAGTGTTCCTTCCTATAGATATGATATGATGCAATTACGCCAGTCCCACGTTAAATTTATAGAATGTACCTCGACTTGGTCTATTGATGAGTGGAGAAGGGTGACGATGTTCTCCTTGGTGATGTTTTTGGTTGCCGCTGCCAGCTTGGCGAGACCATCTGCTTCGATGTTTTGTGCTCGGGGTATTTGGTCAAATCGACATTCGTCGAATTCTGGCAGCAGTTTGTGGATTTCAGTTTGGTAGTTCTGCAACCTTTGTTCCTTAATTTGGAAAGTCCCAGTAACTTGGTTCATAACGAGTTGAGAGTCATAGCGGATGATGACCCGCCGAGCACCATACTTGAGGGACAATTTTAATCCTGCAATTACGGCCTCTTACTCGGCCTCATTGTTAGTCATTTCAGGGCATCGTACGGATTGGCAAATTACTTTGCCCGTTAGGACTTCGAGTATGAGTCCCAGTCCCGATCCGATGTGTTGGATGCGTCATCGATGTAGAGGACCAGAGGTCGGATTGCTTAGATGAAGCGCAAAATACTTCTTGCTCGACTTCGGGCAGTATCTCTGTGCTGAAATCGGCGAAAAAGTCAACGAGCACTTGCGACTTTATCGCAGTTTGTGGTTGATATGTTATATCATGCTCGCTTAGTTCTATGGCCCATTTGGCCAAATGACCTGATAACTCGAGTTTGTGCAAGATACTCCTGAGAGGGAAGGTTGTCACCACCTTTATTGGGTGGCACTAAAAATATGGTCTAAGCTTTCGTGAAGCTACGACTAGCGCCAGAGCCAGCTTTTCAAGGTGGGGGTACCTTTTTTCGGCGTCAATTAAGGTTTTGCTGATATAGTAAATTAGAGATTCCGTACCTTGGTTTTCTCAGATTAGAACCGCACTTACCGCGACTTCGAATACAACCAGGTAAACTATGAGGCACTCGCCTGGTTCGGCTTTGGCGAGTAAAAGTGGTGAAGACAAGTACGCATTTAGTTTCCTCAAGGTGTCGACGTATTCTGCATTCCACTGGAGCTTGTTGTCCTTCCTTAATACATTAAAGAATTTATGGCACCTATCTGATGACCGTAAGATGAACCTTGACATGGCTGCTATCCGTCCCGTCAATTTTTGCACCTGCTTTTTGCTGGTTAGTGTTTCGGGTATTCTTTTGATGGCCTTAATTTGTTCCGGGTTGACCTCGGTACCTCTTTATGACACTAGGAAACCAAGGAACTTTCCCAATCTTACGCCAAATGCGCATTTTTCGGGGTTTAGTTTCATGTTGTACCGTCTCAATATGTCGAAGGCTTCCTTTAGATGACCGATATAATCTTCTTTCCTCTTCGACTTAACCAGCATATCGTCGATGTAGACTTCCATTTCTTTACCAAGTTGGATTTTGAACATCTTGGTGACCAATCTCTGATATGTCACCCCCGCATTCTTTAGTTTGATCGGCATCACTCTATAGAAGTACGTTCCCTGGTGAGTAATGAAAGTGGTTTTCTCCTAGTCTTCTTCCTCCATGAGGATCTGGTTGTAACCCAAATAGGAATCTAAGAAGCTTAGCAACTCGTATCCTGTTGTTGCATAGATGAGCTAGTCGATGTGTGGCAATGGAAAAGAATCTTTCGGACATGCCTTGTTTAGATCCGTGAAATCTACACACATCCGCTATTTTCCATTTTTCTTTTTCACCATGACCACATTGGCGACCCATTGAGAATATTTTGATTCCCGGATGGAACCATTTGTGAGTAGTTTATCGACCTCTTCGCTGACGGCCTCGTTAATTATGGCTTTAAACTTCCTTCTCATTTGCTGCACCGGCGGGTATAAGGGGTCAACATTTAACTTGTGGGTGGCGATATCCTTTGGAATGCGTGGCATATCTGCATGGGAGAAGGCAAACAGATCGGTATGGTCAGTCAAAAACTTATGAAATTTACCTAGTTCCGAGAGGTTGTGCCTGATATAAGCCTTTTTTGTGCCGTCGTTGCCTTATAGAAGGATGGGATCAAGATTTTCTATTGTTGATTCGGATGCCTCCACGATGTCGGGGTCCTTGATAACATCTGTTCGCTTGTTAAGTTTGGCTCCCGATATCGTTAGTTGTTATGCTTCCGTATTTGCTCCTTTGACATGTTGGGTGTGTGCGCAATCTTGGGCGATGCGATAGCATTCTTCTGCAGTGCGTTTCTCCCCTCGAATGATGAATATTCCCCATGGGGTAGAAAACTTGATAGAGACTGGAAAGGACCGCTCGCATGGCGTGTATCCACGAGTGCCCTATGATGGCGTTGTAAGCTCTTTCTTGGTTCATGACGTGAAATGTCATTTCCAGGGTGACTCCTCCGGCTAGGACAGGTAGCATTATCTCTCCAGAAGTCCGTTCAACACATTATTAGAACTTGTTAGCGTTATACAACGCAATATTATTTTATCTTCGAGTCTCATCTGCACGAGGACTCGAGGATGGATAATATACGTGCCGCTCCCGTCATCTACCATTATTCTTTTTATATCAGTATCTGCGATACGTAAAGTGATAACAAGAGCATCATAGTCATTGAAAGACAAACTGTTGGTATCCGACTTATCGAAAATGATACTATCTTCGAGGTCATCATATCGTTCGTGGGTAATTGATCGTTTGAGTTTATGTGTGGTGGTGAACTTGACATGATTGATCGCCGCGTCATCGCCCCCGCAGATGATCATTTGTATGGTGCGAGTGGGAGAAGGCGGTTTTGGAGGTCCTTGGGGTTGTTTGCGTTCGCGGGCGAAGTTAGTTCGTCCTCGATCGCTCAGTAGCTCCTTTAGGTGAACTTGGTTTAGTATTCGTACTACTTCTTGTCGTAGTCCTGTGCAATCTTCGGTTTTGTGACCCCTTTCTTGGTGAAATTCGCAGAAAGCGCTTGACTTTCGAGTGCTAGGGTCTGACCTCATCTTTTGCGGCCATTGCACATTTGGACCGAGTTTCTCCAGGGCGTACACTATTTCTCAAGGAGAAACACAAAAATTGTGAGCGGGTAGAAGTGGTGACATACCTTTCTCGTGTCGATATGGTGCTGTATATCAAGGATGAGCATTTGTACGTCGTGGTGGAGGCGGGGCAGATGTTCTAACGTAGGGTTGATGCCTTTCTCGACCAGAGCGGGACCCCAACTGATCTCTTCGACTGTCGTTGCGACGATCTATCCTTGCTTCCATTTGGAGTGACGTCAACTGTTGGGTCGGGCCGTTTAGTTCATCTTCGTTGGCTCGTAACTCGGCGCAGTAGGCATTATGGATTTCTTCCCAAATAGTTGGAGGGTACTTCATGAGCCTGCTTAGCAATTTTCTGGTCACTCTCGACCCATTTCTGTTTAATCCATCCTAGAAGGCTGCTACTGACATTCCTTCTAACATGTTAGGCAAGCTCATTCTCACCCTGTTGAACCGAGCTAGGAAGTCCCCGAGTCCCTCGTCGTGTAGCTGTCTTATGGCAAATGTATTATTTACCCTAGCCTCTGTCTTTTTGGCTCCTGCATGGGTGGTGACGAATTTGTCTGCCATTTCCTCGAATGTTGTTATTGAGCGTGCTGGTAGTTGAGAGTACCATGTCAATGCTCCCCCTGTTAAGGTTTCGCTGAACTTTTTCAACAGCACCGATGGCACTTGCTCTTTTGAGAGATCGTTACCTTTTACGGCTATAACGTAGTGGATGATGTGGTCTTCCGGATCGGTAGTACCATCATATATCTTTAACTAAGGAGACATTTTGAAGGTTTTTGGAATGGTATAAGGGGCCACTTCTTCACTGTATGGTTGCTCGATGGATCGACCAACATCGCGTTTTGGCAGCAACTTTGGAGCGCCTGGTATTTTGTCAACTCTCTCCTGGTGTTCCCTCATTTGGTCACGGAGTGCCTTGTTCTCATTTTTCATCTCTTCCATTTTCTTGAAAACGACTGCAAGCATATCATTGCCTGCATTATCAGCAACATAAGTTTTACCTGTTCGGAGGGCATCTTGCTCGCCCTCGTTTATCATGGCATATGCATGTGCCACATTCATATCATCCCTTTGGGCGAGTTTATCGAGGATGGTGTTCAGAGCACTTGTTAGCCATTCTTCCAGCAGTCTTCTTACTACCGGTGGTGCCTCTCCTGTTGCAGATGTGGAGGCTTCCCTTTCGCGTGAAGCAGTCACGCTTCCATGCGGGGGAGGTGAAGTGTCTCCCCCGGGTGTGATGTTTGGTGTTTTATTTTCGTGATCCTCTCTGCTATCTTCGTTGATGGTGTCTAGGAGGTTGGCTGTGACACCTACTATGATTTTTTGCCTTGCATCTTCTTTCCCTGCCATTGTTGGTTTGTACCAAGCTCGGACGAAGCGATTATCCCTTCCAGGAGTCTAGATGAAACTATAATCTTAGCTAAAGAAATCCGCATAGACGCCGCCAAATTATTTGATCCAAAAGATATCGAAACCTTTTTGAATAAATCAATTAAAGAAAATGAAGAGGTAAATCTCAGCTAAGTATAATAAACTCTAGAATAAAAGATATAAAGGATGAACACAATGGACAATATTTCTTAATCTTGTGAGAGTGAGTGATTGAACGTTAAAAATGCCAACCTTGAACGTTGGGAGATATTACAATCCGTGTTCCTCGCCCCCCTTACAAGGTTTTTTCCTCACTATATATAAGGGACAACCCCCTTCTAAACCCTAAAAGACATATCGTAGGGAATATTCGAAAGTATATTCCTAATATCCCCGGTTAGGCTTACACTACTGNCATAAGGTTTTTTCCTCACTATATATAGAGACAACCCCTTCTGAACGCTAAAAGACATATCGTAGGGAATATTCGAAAGTATATTCCTAATGCCCCCTGTTAGGCCTACACTACTGCAAAAGTCATACGTCCTTTGTCCGCTGTCGGTCGTCGTCCTCCACAGGACGTCGTACTATGAAGGTCTCATCTTTTGTCGTGTTTGTCAGTACCCGTGGTCGTCCTAATTTGGACCTATACACTATGAATGAGAAACTACAAAGAAAATAAAAAAGAAAGGGCATGAGCAACTCTTTTAAGGATCTCATTAATTAGTATTTTTCACAACCACTCATGAAAATGGAGTAACTAAATAGAACTGAAAAGGCATGGAAAAATTCAATACATAAATGAAATTTACAGGGAAGACATGTATGTAAGAGAGAAAAGTGTGGATATATATATGTGTAAAGTTGCCTCCCACTTCTTTATACGTAATTTTATCATTAGGGTATGAAGACTTCTTTTTCTTGCATGAAAGTTGAAACGACATGATTGCACCATGAATTTTTTTTGGTAAAATTCTGACTTCTCTTTGATTGGCCCCACAGTATATATGGAAGAATGTATTATTCCGTGATTGGTGCGGTGGGAAAATGAATGCCTCCTCAATCCAATTTTTGTCAAGAATTAGTCGCATTCTTGACTTCTTACCTTGGACCTCCGATAAAATTGACTTCTTACCTTTACTCTTTTTTTTCTCTCATAAATTAAATCCACCTTCGATGGATGGCTTCATTCCTCAATCGTAGGGTTCGGATTTCAAGACATTCCAAATAGGGTCACGCACTTCATTAACCGATCAAGTGTAGTATTTGTGTTTTCTCAATTTTGTTCTATGTTACATGGTCATTCGGCCACGAGATATTAGCACAGCTTGCTACCGGGGCTCTTAAGGACCGCTTATGCGTTGCATTATAGCACGGGCCTGGAACACCCCATTTATAATAAATTTAGGGGGG